CTCTATGGCAGTAATACAAATCCTTCAAGTTTTTTTATGCTTGTAAATTTTTATAATAAAATTTAGAGAAAAATATAATGCTTTATAATGCTTCCCTGACTATATAAACTTTAGTTGCCCACCAACTATTACCTATCACATCCCTCTGTTGTATTTTCTTCACAGTAGTTACCTATAGCTCATGTTGTATTCATTATCCTTTGTTTTCTGTTCCTATTTACCCTACCCATTAGAATGCAAGCTCTCTGGGAACCAGAACATCATCTATCATGTCCTCTACTGTTTTTGCTAATCACCTAGAATACTGCCTAGAACATAACAAGTGTTTAATAACTACTAAGTAAATTAATGAACAGATGCCTCATGACACTGCTTATTGTATTACTTATTGGCTTACACATGAATGCCTACTCCTCTCCAAACAGATTATTAGTTCCTTGAAAATGAACTTTTTGTAGCTTTCTTAACATTTTGCAAAGTTTTAGCTGCAAAAATTTAGTTGCTCAAATTCTCATATTAAAAAATAATAGGTCAGTATTTTATTTATTTATTTGATTTTATTTATTTATTCATGAGACACAGAGAGAGAGAGACAGAGAGACAGAGGCAGAGACACAGGCAGAGCGAGAAGCAGGCTCCATGCAGGAGCCTGATGTGGGACTCAGTCCGGGACTCCAGGATCACGCCCTGGGCCAAAGGCAGGCGCGAAACTGCTGAGCCACCCAGGGATCCCCTAGGTCAGTATTTTAAAATCACATAATAAAGAATTTTTTTTGGAGTTCCTAGGTGGGCACAAAATGAAATATTTTTATTATTGCATTATTATTATTTTTGTTTCCATATCTGTAAAATGGAAAGAATTAAAATTTTTTTAATGAAAATGGTCAGATGAAAAAATATATTTTTTTGTAAATAATGGAATTTTTTAAATTAGAAAGGATCTCAGAAATAAGTGCATCAAAACTTTTATTTTAGAGATAAAATAAGACAGAAAGAGTGATAAATCAAACATTCAAGAGGGAGATTAGTGACCCAGTCAAAATGAGAGAATGGATCTCCCAATTCCCAATTCTCTGAGTGGGTAGAGCAAGCCCCGTGGGAATCTGGCAATCTCCAGTTGGAGACTCCTGTTCTTTCTCTATCTGGCTGCTGGCCACAGAAATCACTCTATGTTGACTCAGTATTGACTTTTGGATGACAAAATTTTGAAGAATTTTTTGCTAATAATGTCTTGGCTGGAAACGTGTTCTCTCTTTGCCAAATCCGAGTGCTTTTTTTTTTTTTTACTGTTTCAGACTGCTATAATCATCTTCAAGAATAGTTTAAAAACTTCTTTTCTCACATTATTACCTCACAGTCTGTTCTCTCTCATCTCTGTGAACACTGTGGAAAGAAGCCCATACTCCTCTGAAAGATGGGGTTCAGGGGTGAGGCAAGCCTGGAGAGCTTGCATAGGGCCCGCCACATGATCTGGGGAATGCCAGGGGCTCTCCACCCACCCATGCACCTTCCTCCCCTCTACCATCACAGGTCACCAAAACAAACAATTGTCCTTCAGATAGGACTCTTAAGAACAGAGGGAAGAAAAAAATGCTGTTTGGCCAACTGTTTTCTCAGGCACACTAAAGAAACTAATTATGTAAGCTACTTTAAATTCAGGAATGTAGAACATCTTTTTTAGAGCCCGGAGGTTACACAGCTAACCATAGGAAATGACAGGAAGAGAGGAAATGCATGTTTCCCTACAATATCTTCTTTATCATCAGACTGAAGAGGGAGAAAAACATATTTTGGAAAGGCCAATCCATGCTTACAAAGCTCTCAACAACCATTGATGGAGAACCAATCCTAGCAGCATGCCTTAGGAAGGCTGCAGAATGTTAGCCTTCGACCATCTCTAAACTTTACCCCCACCCTCCGCTCATCAACTTGTACCAACAAAGCCTAGTAACTTGCCAGGCCCCAACTTGCTTTCTTCTTTCAAGACTCCATGCCTTTGCATTTATATAGTGCTTAAGATGTTCTAAGCACTATATGTATGGATGTATACATCCATGTGCATATAGGAGTGATATATATTTCTATAACAAAGCATCGTTATATATTTAATATGTAATAAATTACATACTTAATAAATACATAAACAAAGCAATACATTGTATCTTATGTAATAAGACATAAAAGTCTATCTAGGGGTGTCTGAGTGGCTCAGTTCGTTAAGTGCCTTTGGCTCAGGTCATGATCCCAGGGTCCTGCGATCGAGCCCTGCATCGGGAGTCGGCTTCTTCCTCTCCCCCGACCCTCCCCCTCACTTGTGCTCTCTTTCTCTCTCTCACTGTCTCTCAAATAAATAAATAAAATCTTTTTTTAAAAAGCATATATAAAAGTATAATTATGTATGTATACGTCCATGTGCATACAATATTTTTTAATTAATTAATTTATTTGAGAGAGAGAGAGCGGGGAGGGGCAAAGGGAGAGTAAGAGAGAATCCTTTATAGACTCTGCACAGAGCCCAACTGTGCATACAGTATTGTATGTATTTCTACAACCAAGCATCATTATATATTTCAAATGTAATAAATTTTATACTTAATATGTAAATTAACATAGAATCTATATCTTCTGTAATAAACTGCATTAAAGTATAATTAAATAATTACACCTAATATATTTATAATGTATGTAGAGGTAATATACATTATACTATATATTTTACATGGATATATTATATATAAATAAAATTAACTCAATTATAAATGTGTTATGATAAACTCTCCTATGAGATATTATCTCCATTTTACAGATGAGTAAATCAAGGTACAGAAGTGCTATTCATCAGGATGAAATAGATAGTGAGGGACGGAACTGACATTACCCATATACAGCGGTCCCTGGCTTCTTCTTACAACACAGTCTGTCTTTATTCTGTCTTCCTACCACACATTCCTGATTGCTGCTTATCTCACCGTGTGGTGGTTTCATTTCTCACATGTTTATATCTCCTATGCCCACTTCCTCTTCCAGTCCCTACCTCACCTCTACCCCACATATAGGTAACTGAGGGAAGAGCTTCCTGTGTCTTATTCTTTATATTCCTTACACAAAACACAGTGGTGGGTACATGGTGGACTTCAATAAACATATGCAAGAGGGATGAATGAAATAACTTTTAAAAAAGTTAAGAGGACTATGGGAGTGTATCTCTTGGCACTGGAGTAAGACATGTAGAAGACAGGCTTCCTGGAGCAGCCGAAGGAGTCAGCAGAGAGTGTGTGACTAGAGTGTCCTCAAGGCACCCGGGCTGCTCTGCTTGTATGAACTGGTCAGGTAGCCCTTTGGGGTTAAGTTGGTTCCAGAATAGGTATATATCCATTTAATAAATATAAGCTATGAATTAACTCTGTAATTAGGTATGCATAACCAGTATTCCTGACCTATAGGATTTTAGTTTATGGGCAAAAGGAGGGAGATAAGAAATCGAACGATTTAAATGACTCATGCCCAATGAATAGCACAGACATTACCTTAGGGCTTCAGAGAAAAAGGAGGTCACCTGAGATAATAACAGTTAGGAAAGGAGGTGAGAGTTAAGGAATAGGCAGTTTGGGTGAAGACAGCAATCTGAAGTCATTCCAAGGATGAGCAAAAATACAGAGCCTCTCCCAACAAGAAATCAATACATTAACCAGCCTTCTGGATACTGATCCATCAGTTACCTACATTTCTTATTGTAAACTACTAAAGTAGTTTCTTATAAAATTCAAACTTCATTGTTTGTGCTGCATGAATAATTTTTCTAGGGCTTTGTTGTTTCTTAATTTTTGAAATTTCATACATATAGCAAACCTAGAAGTGTAAAGAAAACAAACACAACAATTCCTGCTCACCTTTCACTGATGCAGCCCTAATTTTTTGAGGATTATCTGAGGTAGAAATATCCCTCCACAGAGGCTTAATTTATTTCTAAACATGTAACTCTGGAACACTTTGGATGTTCCAACAGTTTTCCTTTTCTTTAAAGAAGTATTTATTTGAGAGAAAGAGAGAGAGAGAACACGAGCATGTGAGCAGGAGGAGGGCCAAAAGGAGAGGGCGAATCCAAAGCAGATTCCCCACTGAGAGAGGAGCCTGATGCAGGTATTGATCCCATGACCCTGAGATCATGACCTGAGCCCTGAAATGAAGAATCAGATGCTTAACTGCCTGAGCGCCCTCCAACAGTTTTCTTTTTGAGTTCACTCATTCTCTCTCTCTCTCTCTCTCTCTCTGCCATTTCTCTCAAATTTTACATATTCCTTTATCCTCCCAAAAGTTTTGCTAGACCTGCTTGGGTGGAGGTTGCGGGGGGGAGGGGGAAGTTAAAGTCATTGCCTCACTTGAAACAACCACAGAGATTAATGTCTCTGTATTATTTAGTGTATTACCTCAACCAAAGTTTATAAATATCAGAACAATAAAAAGATTTGGACAAGGGCAGCCCAGGTGGCTCAGTGGTTTAGCGCTGACTTCAGCACAGGGCGTGACCCTGGAGATCCGGGATCAAGTCCCACGTGAGGCTCCCTACATGGAGCCAGTTTCTCCCTCTGCCTGTGTCTCTGCCTCTCTCTCTCTCTCTCTCTCTCTCTCTCTCTGTCTCTGTCTCTCATGAATAAATAAAATCTTAAAAAAAAAAAGATTTGGACAAGAAGTAAAAGGGCAAACAAAATTTTCTCTTTAAAAAACAAACACTTAAGGGCACTTGGGTGGCCCAGTCCAGTTAAGCATATGGCTTCAATTCAGTTCACGATCCCAGGGTCTTGGGATCAAGCCTTGCATCAAGCTCCCTGCTCAGTGGGGTGTCTGCTTCTCCCTCTGACCCTCCTCCTTCTCATGCTCTCTCTCCCCCCAAAAAAGTAAAATTTTATTTAAAAAAGCCCAACATTGAAATAAACAAATAAATTCCAGAATAGATTTTTATCTGACATAAGGTTGAGAAATAATTCTGTTGTGTTGCTTACCTGGTTGAAAATAAAAGGAACCTCTTTCTTGTCTCCCACTCTCATAGATGATATGGGAAATGTTGCCGTCCCTAGAGTTTCATCCATGACATAATTAGCATCCATTAATGTGACCTGTAGAGATTAAAAGGTAGACTATGAGAAAACAATTTCTCTTGAATTTTTGGAAATTATATCTAAAATTTCTACCACATTAAAAAAATGAAAGCTCTTGAATGATATTTAATAGTTTGAGACCTCAATACTCAAAGGGTTATGATACTTTGTCTTCTCTTTTCTTTCTGACGCATTTGCTACTAAAATGATCATTAAAAACTTTTTCATTTTCCTGATTGACTTATTCATTATCATGTTTTCAAAAATGGAACCTTAACCACTCCCTCAGAGGAAATGCTATTTTGGAGTATGAGAAGTAAATTAATGTAGAAAATCCATGCAACCATTTTGGGAAAGATCTATTTTAATTCCTTTTAAAGTTAATTATTTTCAGTTAGAAACTTTAAGTGAATAAAGTTAACTTGTTTTAAAGTCATAATCCATTGATGATACTGTTATTCTGTTGTCCTTGGACCCTCCTCTTTACAATAGAAAATATGTTTTCTCTAAAACACATGAGGAAGATAAAAGATACTTCCCAGCTCTATCAGACTCTTGTGTTTCCCACTGGATATTCACATCACTTGTTGTACACCAGCTAGCACCCAGTGTAGCAGGCTGCCCAGCTGGACTCCAACTACACCTAACCAAGGAGAAAGAAGGCATGAAAGGGACAAGCTCAAGCAGCAACTTCCACATGAATGATGACCATGTAACAGTCCACAAATGATTCACTGACCTCCAAAACATTTTCTTGATTAGGATCCAAAATAAATTCGAACGTCTCATTCCACACAGGGTTTATGTCATTATTGAAGTGTCTTGTTCTCTTCCTGCTGTCAGGAGTTGAGGAGATAAAAAGTTCCACATACGGATCTGGGGTGTCAACTGTAGACAGTAAACACAGGTGAGAAGGAGGCAAAAATGTGATTCATAATTCCTATTTTTATTAATATGTGTTGTCAGATTATTTTTAATGAATATGCAGTAACATATTTAAAATGTCTGAGACAACATACTCCAGAATGGAAGAACATCAAAGGTTTGATACTTCTTGCCCACCCTAACAGTTCTAACATAAGGAATCATTTATGAGGTGATTTACTCAGAATTCCTCTATCCACCTAAAGGACATGTTCAGTCAACACTTCAGTGGAACTGCTTAACAATGAGAACAATCTTACCCAGCAAACTACAGTATAACCTTCACCCCGGGACTATGATGGTGACAAGATAATGGGTTCAGGATCACGGTGCTTGTCTACATTAGAAAAATGATCCTAATTACTTTCTTTGCCAAACAAAATCATGAAACTCAGTGTGAGCTAAATATTGTAGTTATGGGGTTGCCTTGGGTAGCAGTACAGGCTGTGCACTGAACAGCTCTTTTTTTTTTAATTTTTTTTTTAATTTATGATAGTCACAGAGAGAGAGAGAGAGGCAGAGACATAGGCAGAGGGAGAAGCAAGCTCCATGCACTGGGAGCCCGACGTGGGATTCGATCCCGGGTCTCCAGGATCGCGCCCTGGGCCAAAGGCAGGCGCCAAACCGCTGCGCCACCCAGGGATCCCTGAACAGCTCTTAAGGGCTGGTATTTATATTAGTAACCACATATGTTTCTGTATTTATTATAGAAGTATTCAATCAGATGGAAGTGGATGTCTTAAGGAATGTAACAGCTTTTTCTTGTACATAAAGGCCTGCTGGAGTCAGGGCATGACGTGGGTGACGTTTTAAATAGAAATAATCAATTGCAAATAAAGGAAGTATTTAAATTTCTTCCCACTATATATATACACACATAACAATAAGGCAACTGACACTAAGCAGTGGAAACACTCATCACTCCCTCCTTAGTGGTTCCATTGAACCCTTCACCATCTTACAACATTCCACACACTACATTTTATAGATGTAATTACACATTTATCTGTCTTTTCCTACAAGATTCAACAACTTGAGGGGAGTGATCAAGTCTTACTCATTTTTTATCTCTTCAGAACCTAACAACTATCACAATATTTAAAGGTCTCCTAATGTAAGGAGTCAGTTTTTCTCTTTAACACATCCTCTCCCATGTGACCATTGTAATTCATAACCACAAAAACCAACAGTTGAGCAATGACTGCTAGGATCTCTGTCAAGCACTTGATACACTTTAGTCGCGTTCAAATCTCCTAAAGGCACCCCAAGGTAGGTGCTCTGTTTTGGTGTTGAGGTATCAGGAACTGAGAGATGTTAAGCAATCTAATATCCAGCTAGTAAGTCTCAGAGGAAGATCTGGCTGCCACATTGTTTTAATGACATCATGCTCTTAAGTGCTAAAAACAAGATCATAAGGTAAGCATTGCTATTGAAAGAGGAGTTGGGACTTAGAGTTATGGAAAAGAGGAGGAAAGGATAGAGGGAGGAAGGGGGAGGGAGAGAGAGAGAGAGGGAGAAGAGGTAAAGAGGGAGGGAGGGATGGGGGAGAGAGAAAGAGAGAGAGAGGTGGGGCAGAGATCCATACAAAAAGATATAAAAATTGGGATGCCTGGGTGGCTCAATGGTTGAGTGGCTGCCTTTGGCTCCAGTCATGATCCCAGGGTCCTGGGATTGAGTCCTACATCAGGCTCCCCAGAGGGAGCCTGCTTCTCTCTCTGCCTATGTCTCTGTCTCTCTCTGTGTCTCTCATGAATAAAATAAAATATTTTTTTAAAAAATATATAAGAATTGAAAATAAAGGAAAAGCAAAAATAATAGTTCTCAAATGATTGTTTTTCAAAGAAAAATTTAAATATATATATATATTTTTTAAGTGTGCCTTTTTATTGTAAAGTGGAAAGATCTACAAAAGAAGTATAAGCATTTGGAATTGTCTTTTATTAAATTTTCTCACTTGTACTTTATGCATCATTGGTCAAAGGCAGCTGAGTCTCAAAAGAGGTACAACGTAAATGCCTGGGGTTTGGATTAAAAATGCAGACTCTTGACCCTCCTTGCCTAAGACCCATGATCAGTAGATCTGCAGCGGCCCAAGGAATCTGCATTTTTAAACAAATATTCTAGCTGATACTGATGTAGGTCCTCTTCTGTTCACATTTTTGATACCTTATTTTAGAGAAAAGGAAATAGGCAGCTATTGGAATTTTACTTATTATTTATTTTTATGGAAATATAATTGGCATATAGTATTGTGTAAGGCATCCAGTGTGTTGACTTGATACATTTACATATTGCAATCTCCAACTCAATGCTGATCTCTCTCAACAGGACCACGGAAGACAAACTAGAAAACAAAAAGGCTGAACAGGAAGGAAGGTAAGGGGAAATGGGCCAAAGAAGAGAAGGGCATTCTACATGGTGACTCTTCCCACCTCCTCAACCAAATGTTCCTTTTCCTTAACTGTGTTTCTGCCATGACGCCAGAGCTCAAGACTGCAAATCAGAAATAAAACTTCATATTTAGAATAGTGAGTGATGGAAGATCATAAAGAAAAGTATCTTTCCTCTTTTGAGTAGAAGTCAACATGTGATTTAAAGGAAGAGATTCCATTGTACTTCACATTAAATGTATAAAAATGTAGCCCATCATCCCACAGGGTAGGTTCTTTCTCATGGGGCTAATGCTTTTTTTCTGTTTCCCCCAAACACTAGAAAACCCCAAACCAAGCAAAAAAAAAAAATCTAGAAAACAAAAAGTGCCTGGGAAGAGGAGACATGCAAATGTTAAACATCACTCATTCATTCAACAAATATTTGAACACCTGCTCTATGCCAGGAACTACCTGTCAAGAAGCAGTTTGGCTTTAACAGGCAATCGAACACGAAACTGCAGATTTGAACTATGGAAGTGAGTCAAATGCTAACGGCCTAATTTTAGAGGCCAGGGTAAATAGGAGACAAGCAGATACACCACGCCAGTGACTAGTAACTCAGTCACTCAGATTATTACACACAAATAAAGTCAAATCGTAGGTGGAGAAGTTGCCTTTAAGGCTTGGTCTTCATTTGAATCTGAGGAAAGGAGGGAAAGGTTTTCTTGGGCCAAACAAGGAGGAGGAAACAGAAAGCTTAGTTCCTTGGGAGAAACCATGTAGGAAAAGAAGCAGGAAGCTGAAGGGAGATAGGCATCTTCTAAGCCATTCTGGATGCTCAATCCAGGTTACACACTTTAGCAAATTCTAACTCTGACAAAAATGATAAAGAAAAGAGCATGCAACAAGATACCAACACTACACTTATACATCAAAACATCAACGGACTTTTTAAAGAAAATTAGAATCCAGTTCAATGCTGTCATTTTGGGTTCTTCTTTTCACTTTTAAATACAATCAATATTCTACAACTCCTGTCAAGAGTGGTGGTTGATGCTTCTTCCCTTGCTTCATGAGCAAGAGACCTCAACGTTAAGATGTCAAAGGGTGCTGGACAGTGGAAAACCACTGACAGCTGCAAACTCTGATACTGCAATCAGCATCACGGCTAATCTCTGCAAGCCGAGAAACATCTGTAGCAGTGGTAGACACTGCAGGATGAAAAGGGAGTTTGGGGACACAAGTTTAAAATCAGATTACGATAATCACATAGCTCACTTTCTTTACATAATCTATAATCTTCGTTGGCTTTGGAAAGGGAAAGCTTCTTGGAAGCTTTGAAAGAGAAAGCAGTCCATTGTGACAGCAAAACTAAGCCCAGTGCTTTAGAGATATGCATGAAGGGGGAAAAGGGCAAATACAGGAAAAGAAATGTTTGGGGTTTTTTCTCCTGTATATTTATTTCATGGTTTTGTCAATTAATGCCTAGGGGGTAACTGGATGTTGGCTCACTGATTCAGCTTCACCTTGATTAGTTCCAGCCAAACAGGTGGTAAAGCCAAGATGTAATGTGTGGGCAAAGACTTTCTTCCATCTCATCCTTTTATCTAAATCTTGACAAACAAAAATGTTGGGGGTGTGGGATACAGATCTCTTTTGCTCCCATAAAGATGGCATGAAACTACATGCACCCGAAATAGCTTCAGAATTCCCGGGTTGTAAAACCTCTCATAAACTTTAGTAGTTTAAGGAGTGCCTGTCTAAATTAATAACAGGTCCATCTGTCATTTCAGCTTTGTCTGAGCAAAATATTATGTGATTCATGATAGAGGCTGATGGCAGCTTCTATACTCTGTAAGTTCTATTTAGATGTCCTCCATTTGCTTTCTCATATCCACTGTGCTCAGCAACTTAAACCCTCTTTAAATAAACCCTGCTTTAAATAAAGATGACCCATAACCTGTTATAATTCTTGCAATGAACAGCAAAAAAAAAAAAAAATCCCAGAAGGAATAGTCCTCCCAAATTCACAGCTAAAATATCACTTTCCAAATAGCTATTACTGCTATTGGTAAACTTAAAGTAGGTTTCTCAAAATGCAGTCCTTTACAGTATCTTCATAGAATCATCTGGAGTGTCAAAAATGCAAACACCTTGCATCTTCAGTCAGAGCCTAGGCTTGGAAATCTGCCTTTTTAACACTTGACCAGGTGATTCTTAGGTCCACAAGTTTGAAAAACATGGTTTAAAGCATATATTCTTAGAATTCACGAACAATGATACAAATAACACCCACAGAAAAGTAGAAACGTTTGGCATTGAAAAGTCAACAGGCTTACTGGCCTTTGGTCATGGACTTATTCTGCCCATAGACTATATTAAGGACGATCCAGTAATTCACTTCCGTTTCTTTCCAGTCTTTAAAGACATTTCCAAGTGGCCACACGAAAACAAATCCAAGAATAAAGTACATGAGGTAGGTCAGTTGGCAATCTATATAAGGCTACAGGCTGATATTGAAGCATTCTGCTTCTATTGCCACCAAAATAGGAATACTGCAGTAAGACTAAAAATTAAAAAATAATTTAAGTAAATGCCTCTGAATACTGCCCTCAAATGTCCCTCCTTTGAAATATTTATGATTTTGTGATAATGCTAATTATGTGGAGAACTTAAAGCTTTTTGACTTAAAGGTTTAAAAACTTAGAGTGACAACCTCTTCACTTTCTCCATACTATAGTGGCCGAGTGGCTGGCCAAGAAAGCGATTGTTAGCCTAATGATAAATGTAAAAATTTTAATAGCAGTTGGTTCTTTTTTTAATGTATAGTTTTTTGTTGAAGGATACTATACAGGCCAAAGAGTTAGAAGATTACAACTGCAGTCTGTTGAGTTTTCAGATCAAGGTATAGAACATTAGCAGGACTCCAGAAACCTCGCTCAACTCCCTCCAGAAAAGTGACCACTACCCTACCTTCTATCACCAGAGAATATTTTTATCCACTTTTTATCTTTATGTAAATAGATACAATATGTACTACTGGGTCTGGCTTCTTATGTTCACCATTAAGTTTGTGAGATTCATTCACATTGACATGTGTACAATATTATTATTGATGTAAACTGCTCCATCGAATGCATATTCCATAATATGTTTATCCATTTCACTGTTGATGGACATTTGGATTGTTTCCAATTTGGGATATTACCAATGGTGCTGCCATGGATATCCTTGGACATGGCTTTTGTTGAATACATGTTTACATACACATGTATGTTTCTTTTGCAAGATTCCTAAGAATGGGATTACTTAGGTATGAAATTGTTATGCCACAGTATGTACACCCTAATGTTAAGAGTCACACGGCAGCACATCCTTCCAGTACCTAATATTGTCAGTCTTGTAATTTTAAACATCTTGTGGCTGTATAAGGATATCTCAATATGGATTTATTTCACACATCTTTGATGACTATGAGGTTTTTATTGGTCGGCTGGATATTCTTTTGAATGAAGGGCATACTCAAATCCTTTGTCAATTTTCTTTTCTATTGGGTTGCCTTTTTGTATTGATTTATAGATTACCTTACATATTCTAGATATGAGTCCTTTGACAGACATACATTGCAAATATATTTTCCTGATTTAGGGTTTATCTTTTCTTTTCTTTAATGATGTCTTTTGATCAAAATAAATGCCTAAGAGTCAAGCATGTTCATCTGTTTTGTTATAATTCATGCTTTTTGTCTTTTAAGAAAACTTTAGCTATACCAGTGTTTGCATGGATTTCTTCAAAAAATTTCAGTTGTTTTACTTTTTAGATTTAAAATCCAGTTAGAATTAATTTCTGTGTATTGTGTGAGGAGGGCGTTATTATTTTTTTCATATGTACAACCAATGGACTCGGCAGCATTTACTGGAAATACCACCTTTAATCCTTGCATTGCAATATAACTTTTGCACTAATGAAGTGGTCTTATGAATGCAAGTCTGTTTCTGGACTTTTATTGGTCTACCTGTCCATTAGTCTATTCATTGAAACTTACACTAATGCCACAGTCTTAATTACCAGAGTTTTATAAGAGATCTTGATGTCAGGTAGTATAAATCATCTTTCTTCAGCTTCTTCATGATTATTTTGGCAAGCATTTTATTTCAACACTTCAAAGATGTCATTCTGTTAGCTTGTGGTTTCTATATACTCTGTTGAGGAATCCATTCTCATTCTTTTGCTTTTTTGAATGTCTTTTTTTCCCCTCTGGATGCCTTTAGAATTTTTTTTTCTTTCTCTTTAGTTTCCAGAAATTTTACTGCAATACACCTAAGATTGGTATTCTTTGTATTTATCCTTGGTTCATCACACACACACACACACACACACACACACACACACACACACACGTACTTTCTCCTTCCCAGTGCTTTTTATCATGCCCTGGATGTTCCTTCTGCTTTTGTTCTATAGTTTATTTCCCCTTTTGTTCTACATGTTTCAGTCTGGATATTTTCCACTAACCTACTCAGTTAATTAATTTCCTCTCTTCAACTGTGTCCAAACTACATTCTACCTGTCTACAGAGTCTTTAATTTTTTTTGAAAGATTTTATTTATATATTCATGATAGACATAGAGAGAGAGAGAGAGAGGCAGAGAGAGAAGCAGACTCCCTGCAGGGAGCCTGACACGGGACTCGATCCTGGGACTCCCAGATCATGCCTTGGGCCAAAGGCAGGCACTAAACCGCTGAGCCACCCAGGGATCCCCAGAGTCTTTAATTTTACTTACCGTGTTTTTAGTTGTAATTTTTCCATTTGATTCTTTCTTATATATCTGGTTCTCTGGTAAAAATTCTCCATCTTGCCATCTATTTTCTTGAACATGTTAATCTTAGCTATTTTAAATATTATGTGTAGATCTACTTATTTTTCTTGAGCTTGTTTTTTGATATGTCTGGCAATTCTTGGCTGAATGCCAGATTTTTTAATGAAAATTTGCATGGGAGATAGACCTATCTCCACAGAGGACCCATTTTATCTTCTGGCAGGCAGTGAGAATAGGATGGATCTCCTCAATTTAATCAAAAATGGAATGGATTCAAATCTTGGTAAGGTTCAGCCTACCTCTTGTTCATTCCCACTGCTTAGTAGGCTTATGTTTGGAAGTTCTGAACTTCAATTTTTTTCCCTATTAGCACTGTGAGGCTGCCAATATCTCTGTTTCTCAACCTGTCGCCCTGCACAGATTGACTTTAGTTAGTGCATATGGTGAAGGCACTGTCTTTTCAGCTTCTCTGTGCTTCCCTTCTATCAGAGATCTTGACCCTCAAATTTTAACTGGCTTAGTTGTGAAATGCAGTTTTTTCATCCCTGAGTCCTTCAGGATTGCCAAAGCTCTGTTGGATTCTCTGCCTCTTCACTGCTTGGCTACTTCCTATATCCCTATCTCCCTGTCACCCCCAAACCACCTAGATCCAGCAGTGGATTGATAGAGGAAATGGCTTACAGAATCCTGGGCTTACTTCAATGACTTCTCTTCTCTGGGATATTGGTACTTCAAATCCTAGTTGACTCAGTGGCTTTTCAATCCTTCAGATATTTTTTTAAATTAATTGACCCTGTGTTTTCTAAGTTGCACTTAGGGGAAATGAATTCTCTTCTGTAATTTACTTCAGCATAGTCCAATGACCATTGAGTCATTAACTTGACCAAATATATACTAATCCCTATTCCTTTTATTTCCACTCTTCATATGACTATCCAAAAATTTCCTGCAGTTCTCAAGTCACCTACCCTAGCCCCAAATTTAATCTCTAAATATTTGCTTTGCCCTGGCCACATCTTCCCAACCTATAAACAAAAACAACTTCATTAATTTTGCCAATTCCTCAAGATCTTTCCTATCCTTAGCAAAGAGTTTAGAAAAATAAATGTAGTCTACATGGGGGCACCTGAGTGGCACAGTGAGTTAAGAGTCTAACTCTTGGTCTTGGCTCAGGTCATGTCCTGAGATGGAGCCCTGTGTCAGGCTCTGTGATCAACATGGAGCCCACTTGAGCTTCTCTCTCTCCCTCTTCCTGCCCCTCCCACTGTGCTCTCTCTCAAATAAATAAATACATTTACATCTTTAAAAAAAATGTAGTCTATACTTACTGTTTCCAATCCCATATCTTATAAAATTCCAACCTATCGTGCTCCACCTTGTTCTATTACATAATCGGTTATTCTCCTTATTGTAGCTTTTTTCTTGGCTGTATCAAGATGTTATTGACATATAACACTGTGTAAGTTTAAGGTAGGCAACATGATGATTTGATGCACATATTGCCAAATGACTATCACAGTAGGGTTAGTTAACACCTCTATCACCTCACATAAGTGCCATTTCTTTTTGTGATGAAAACATTAAAGATATACTTTCTTAGTAACTTCCAAATATATAATACAGTATTGTTAACTATAATCACCATGTTGTTATAAGATCCCTGGAACTTATTCATCTTATAACTAGAAGTTTGTAAAAAAAAATAAAAAATAAAAAAAAATAACTAGAAGTTTGTATCCTTTGATGGACATCTCTCTAGTCCTGCCTCCCATCCCCCAGGTCCTGGCAACTATCTGCCCCTATAATAGCTTCAGTATAGAACTCAATGAACTTTTCTTAATGCAATGCTTTTTGTGCAAATAAAAGATATCATTATTTGTGATTTCCTTCCTAGTTCTGTAAATATTCTCTTAGTATATCTGTCTCCAACATTTTCCCCCTCAGCTCACCACTAAATTGTGGGCTTTCATTTCACATCTCTTACAAATCCTTCAAAAAAGTCCTTCAAAATGAGGTGCCCTCCCTCAAAAAAAATTAATGCTCACATAGTCACAACCAACTTGTAAAGGAATTATCTTATAGATACAGTCTTAAAAAAACACAGTCAGTATGAACCCCTCAGATCATGAGAACACACATGAATCCTGCAGTTTGATTAATCTCAGTTCCTTTATGTTGATTGTCTTCAAGGTTTAAATGGTGGTCATGATGCATTCATTCACTTCCTCAAGGCTGCAAGGAGGAAGTGGTATAAACATGACAAATGTGAGTATCTTCATCACATGTCCTATTGCTGAGTAACATATTTTTAAAGGCTTCCATTTTTTAAAAAAACCATTCTGAATCCATTCTGGAAGTCCTTTCATCCTCTCTTGACGCTACCTTACATATAAATAGGATCTTCTCCATAATCTACATTTCTGAGCTCTCTCCACTCTGAGATTTTGAAACTGTTCTTAAATATCTTGAAAATACCTCAAACCCCACATGTACAATGCAAATTTATTTTCTTTCCACCTTTCTTTCCTTACCTGCAAGGCAAAAGAAAAACAAACCAAAATAAACCAAAAACCTAATAATAAAAACTTGGTATTTTTTCTGACTTTCCTATTTTACTAGGAGCCATCATTTACAGCCATTAGCGCTGGAAACACAAGAGTCATTCTCTTTTCCTCACAGCTCCTGTATCTAATCTCTCTCAGAGTTCCAGCTATTCCATCCCTAATGTGGCCTCCACTTCGTGTTCCTCAAGCCCACTCAAAATATCACTGCCCCAATACCTTCACCTGGACTATTCACATAATCCCATAGTTGCTTATTTTCCCCAAGTCCAAACCACTCTTCGTAACACCTCCACTATAGTGCCACAATTATCTTTGTAAACCACACTTTTGTCCTTCACTACTAAGACTGCAGGGGCAGGCCTAAGTGGTGAGAAAGGCCTGTAAGGCCCCCCCACACACACACTGGACCGCAGGTTCTCCTTCCAGTTAATGATTCTCCTCCACCATGCACTGCAGCATCACCCTCATGAGTCAACATTTAGGCCATGAGGAATCTCTGGAATCCACACATTTCCTTCGCACATTCCACACAGTCACATTGATGGCAAAAGCATCTGTTCTGAGTAAGAAAACATAGCTTCTCTTTTATTTATGCATAGTCTTATGCTCTCTTTGGGCATTTTAGCTAATAACTAAACATTATTATGTTGTTGTCTTTGTCTCAAGAATAATCAAGGGTCCAAATACTGTACACATATGTACAGTGGAATGAGATGGAATGAGATGTTCTCTCTGGTTTTCCCTTATCCGTCTCACACATCCCTAAGTCAATTGTTCTGTTTTCTTTTCAGGTAAAATTGGCCACTATAAATCATGTTCCTAGAGGCTGCATCTATACACATCCGCATAAAATAAAAATAATTCCACATAAAGTTTCAACTTGCTGACTTAGGTATTATTTCCATCTTGAAATGAGGAAACTGAGGCTCCAAGGCATTTAGTAAGTTGAGCGAGGTCATTCAGAAACTAGATTTTAACCTAGACTTTCTGAAGCCAAGCTCCTTGCTCTTTCAAATATACCAACACTAATAACTCTTACCTATTTTTGCCTCTATTAAACTGCAAGCTCCATCATGGCAGGAATCACAGCCTTTCTATTCACTACTATGTCTAAAAGTCCAGCATAAAGTCTGAAACATTATAGGAACATATAAATATTGGAGTACTGGATGATGGACTAGCCCTAAGCAATACTGCAGAAAAGGCGCAACTGTCTTCCATTTCTAACTTCTCTCTACTCTTGGCTAACATGTCTCAACCTTCCTGGAGCTCTGCCCCACATATATACTTTATATATATTTTTTTAAGATTTTATTTATTTATTCATGAGAGACAAGGGTGGGCAGAGATACAGGCAGAGGGAGAAGCAGGCTCCCCACAGGGACCCTGCCACGGGACTCAATCCCAGAACCCTGGGATCATGCCTTGAGCCGAATGAAGGCAGATGCTCAACCACTGAGCCACCCAGGTGTCCCCCATTCATTTGTATTTTAATATAAGTCACTGCCAGTCATTTCTTACAAGTACATTTGCATTTAACCTTTATTTTCAAGTTCCGAATGCAAAAATAATATTAAACCTGTGAATCCCAGCATGCTTCCCTTAGCAACTCCAAGGAATAAGGTAGAGTGTCAGAGGACTTATTTATAGCTAGTAGCCCCTGCTTCCTCTAGCACAGGCTCAAAGTGGGAGTTGTTACAACTGTAGATGCTGAAGGGCAGTCCCTGCAAATTGCTGGAAATGCAGAAGCTGGAAATGTTAGTGAAGAATTCAATGTAGTTTTATAAACAGAATTTTGGTGGTGATTCTGGATACATTGGAGAAAGAAGAGCAAAGCCCTTCCAACAAGACCAACATTGTCTAACTCAAAATAATCGTAGACTACCTTTCCTTCATTTGAAACTACAAAGCAGGTTTATTAACACAATTTTTAAATCCCTTTATCAGGCAGGGTCTCCAATTTGAACTCTATTTTTTCATCTTCTTCTCACACCCTCAGATCTATAAAAGTGCTTTCTCAGGTCACATGTTTCCTTTTGTAAAGGGACATGAAACCATCAGAATGGAGCATCAGCCAAATGGATACCAGGAAGAAAGCCCAGCAGCATCTATGCACAACTGACTTGGTACAGCTTGAACTGACAATTGACTTAGTACCTTAATGAAATGGGCTACCATCTGGCATATAGTAAAAAACAAAACAAACAAAAACAATACGTTACTGTAAAGAAAGTTGATATTCACGAGAGAAAACAGGAAGATAAACTCAAAACAACCCAAAGCCAGTGAAATGTCGATCTATAGCAGAACTGAAATTTTTGTTGTTACTTGCATTGCCTTTTTACTTAAATCTCTGTGATACTTTTTTGGAAGGAAACAAAAATACCTTTGTTATCAGTATCTATGTTTGGAATGTTTTTAAACATTTAGAATCTAGGAATGTTTCTTGGCTTCTGCTTAGTTTGGAGAGAAAGTGTAGTTCTGCAAAAAATTATTATAAAATATATTTATTTATATTATTAATGCTAGCTATATGGATTTAGCTGTATATATGCATTCTATCCTACATAAGAATAATTTTATTTCTCATCAAAGAAGGAGTTCTCAATCTTGACATTACTGACATTTTGGCTCAGATCATTCTTTGCTCTGGGATGCTGTCCCTGGGCTCTACCCACCAACTGCTTTTGATGCCGGTAGGACTCCCCCCGCAATAGTAACAATTAAAAATGTCTCTAGATGTTATTGCCTAATGTACCCTGTGCAGCAAAACCACTCTCCTGCCCCTGTTTAGAACCACTAAACTCAAACAAGGCATCATCCTTGCTACCTGACATTTATTCACTAGCATAAACTGTTAAAAAATGGCCAGATTCCCTAATAATGTATACTATACATATTATGTCAGTCCCATGTTTGAAACCTTTTATGATTCTTTTTCTAAATTGAAATGTCAAAATGATGTAATAATAACATATTAAAATTCTACTTCCTTATCAAACCTATCTCAATCTCCATTCAAGCTGTGAAGTCTTCTGTGAAGCTTCCTGCCAACACTTTTCAAAATCAGTAACATCATATGGGCAAAATACACAATTAGTGAGAGTACACTTTTTTGGTTTGGTTGGGTTTCCAGAGTTATTCAGGCCTACTTCATCTTTTCATTTAGACCACAAACAGGTCAAAGGCAAAGCTGCTGTACAAATAAGGATCAGAGTGAGATAAGTTTAGGTTCAAGTCATAAAATATAATAGCTGCGTGATTTTTGGATTATTTACTTAATGTCTTTTTAAAAATGTTTGTAAAGTTAAAATAAAAACAGCATATAACTTCTCATATTACTAAACTGAATAAATGAAGAATGTTAAGTTCTAAGAACGCTACTCAGCATTTTTGTTTATTTAACACATATTGTGTACACTATTCAAGAACCTTTCTAAACACTCTGTAATCTTATTTAACCCTCATTTTTAAAAGCCTATGAGGAAAGTATTATTATTATGCCCCATCTAACCACTGAGGCAATTGAGGCCTAAAAAACTTAAGTAACTTACCCAAAATCATGGAGTTAATAAATAGAAAGGAGATGTGAATCCAGGCAAGCCAGTTCCAGAATGCTTGCTCCAATGTCTAACCCATGCTTCCCTTTGGGTATGGGACAGGCACTCAATAACGCTATCTACCACAAGTATTATGTTTATTATTTTTTGTACTTCTCGAGGCACTGGGTGAGTATGAAATATAAACAGCAGATGCTCAGCATTTATTGATGAAGATGTTAATAGCGGACGTTAATAATGGGTTATATATTTCTTTAACATTTCTTTTGCAAAGGTAAAAGTTCAAGGCTGTTATTTCATTTTGCATCTGCAGATTTGGATTAACCTTGTATGTCAACTTAAAATAATTTTGTCTAGAATTTTATCTAAAATATTTCATAAAATATGTATTGATGCATCCATAGGAGCAAGAATAGAAGAGTATTTCTAAGGAGTAAGATTTACAAAAACCCCCATACTATCCTTTGGCTAAGGTCACTAGTCATTTCAATTTCTATGTTATATAATTTTTATTTTTAAGAAAAATTTTAAAATATGAAAATATACTAAAATAACATATGATAAATGTTTTCACATAAATGTTTAAACTGAGAGCAGCAAAGTTATTCTCTTTGATATAAAAAGTTTAGGAGTAAACTTTCCTGAGGAAATTTAAGAAACGTTTAACTATTTTTAAATTTAATTCCATAAGATATTATATCACACCTTTTCAATACAGAAGTGATATAGATTTTTGGCAAGGAGAATTTACTTAGCATATGTAAAGAAGGTTGCATATCATACAGTTTTTAAAAAGTTTTTAGAATGAAGGCTTTCTTTCACTTGGTAGAACATTAACATGTTAAAGTATACACATGAAAAGTGTATGAAGTATTTTAATACAAAGAAGCTCAGGTACAAGACATATATGATAAAAAAAAAAAGACTAAGTAGACTCTATTAGTGATAAGTCTTTAAAAGTAGGGAGGGAGGGAGCATGTGGATTGTGTCCCTATTAGTACTGGTAACATACTCTTCATTTTGATGGGGACCTGCTTTATTTTATTTTATTTTTTAAAGAATTTTATTTATTATTCATGAGAGACACAGAGAGAGAGAGAGGCAGAGACACAGGCAGAGGGAGAAGCAGGCTCCATGCAGGGAACTCAACGTGGGACTCAATCCCAGGTCTCCAGGATCAGGCCCTGGGCTGAAGGTGGTGCTAAATCACTGAGCCACCCAGGCTGCCTGGAACCTGCTTTTATTATCTCTCAAAAGCATTGTTACCAAATATACAACCGAAGTATAGCTGTTAATCTTATTGAATAAATATGGTGAAAACCCACAGAAGGACCGATTGATATTATCAAAATATCATAGGACATTATTTACTGTACTCATCAGACCTAGACACACAAATATATACATATAAGACACACACACACACACACGAAATCTTATGACATTTAAATAAAGATAAGAAGGACTAACTGTACTCCTAAAACATTTGGCCATTTAATAAACTACGTGACATTCTAAATGAAAGAACAACAGTAGTGCCCTCCTAACACAACGTATTTCCCAACTTCACAGAAAAGACAAGATAAGAGATCAGAGACAGGCATGTTCTGGAACATTTTATTCATCTTGAAATTATCTTTCATAGAAACTTCACTGGGAAACAGTTTCATTATACATAAAATTTTTTAGATCTTGGGTGGATACTCAAAAACATTCCAAAAATATTAGCAAACCAGAACTCATGTTCATCATTAACTTAAGGGCTAATGCTAGGAAAATGTTTGATTCTGGAAAAATGTATTTAAGGGTAGCTGGCTGCTATAGGCCCACAACAGTGCCATTTATAATTTATAAATATATATTTGAAACACCATAATCTAAGAAAAGATTGATTATAGTAATCCAAAAAGTGTTATAGAGTTTCTGTACATTGAAACCCAGGAAAATTCTAGATTACTATAGAGATAACAGCAGTACTTATAATTTACCAAAAAAGATGGAGTATAAAATTATTATATTTTAGGGGGGAAGGGCAGAGGGAGAGAAAGAATCCCAAGTAGGCCTGATGCTCACTGTAGAGCCTGACAAGGGGGTCGATCTCACGACCCTAAGATCATGACCTGAGCCAAAATCAAGAGTCAGATGCTCAACCGACTAAGCCACCCAAGTGCCCCTAAAATCATTTTGAAAATTCTCTTGAGTGAGGCAAAAAGGAAGCAATATCCAAGAAGAAAGGTATAATTACACCCATTTGTGTATTCTATTCATTAATCCAAAATTCTCTGACATCTTACTACTATGCCAGAC